TTTCCCATCCCCAACAGGGGCCCGACTTCCTTGACCCGATGGGGTCGGGGCCGGGGATGGATACTTCCCTGTCCCGCCCCAACCCTGATTATATATGTTAAATGTTATTTATATTAAGTATATTATTATATTATATTATATATATATGAAAACATAATTAAAACATWATTTATAATTTAACATTTTTATTTATTTTAAAAAATACTATTATTTGAAAACATTTCGGAGATTCAGGTCCCCATGAGGAACCCATCCTCCATCCCTATTGGGGATCGGGGATGGAGGACAAATTTTATCCCCGATGGGGATCGGGGACGGGGATGGGGGTTAATTTCAGAATTAGGGTCGGGGACGGTGAATATGGTCCCCACCCCGAACCTACCCCGTTGCCATTCCTAGTGGCTAAATTCAATGATCATTTATATTTAAATATTGGGACCAAACTGGGTCCACACTGATTGAGTCAAGGGTTCACTGCCTAAGGCAATGAATTTTCAAGAAGTTGGTTCTCAGGTTGGGTTAGAAAAAAATTTAAAAATCAGCCATTCAGCCAGCCATTAGATCTGGTTCAGCTATGTCTGATTTTTAACCCTCACAACAGTACTTGTGTTAAATTTGACTTGTTACTAGGGATGTCAATAGCCTAGGTTTGGATTGGGCCCAATTTGAATAGAACCCAATTCAGATGGATTTAGATAGTCCAATATATCTTTTAAATTGAACTGGTCCAAACTTAAAGGTCCAATTGGTGAAATGGATTGTTAGGGATTTAGTTTAATAGTCTATGGACCCCATTCTTATCCAAAGAAGGGAAATTAGAGGCAACGAGAAAAAATATTTGAGTTTGAAAAAAAGTAAACCAAAAACAAGGTCCCCCTCTCTCTCAACAATGTGGACCTTTCTCTCCAACATTTCTCTCTCACCTATTAATGGTAGACGGGTCATCATTTTAACATTGTTTTTTGGTTGTACATTTTTTTTTTCTGTTTCGGTGTTTGACTAATTGTAATTCAATAATTAATTCTCGTCTTAAATAATCAAATCTAATATGTCATAAAAGGAAAATCATAGCAGAATTCTAGTGCTAGGGTATTAGTGATTTAATTTATTAGGTCTGTTTCACGAGTATTACAACACAACTTCACAAGTATTACAGCATGGAGGCTCTTAGGGGTAGAACACCAAGCCTACTAAGGCACATCATCGAAGCTACGATCATTGTGGTCAAAGTTGTTTTTCTCGATGGGTACACGATGTTCCAAAGCAAATGTGTTCGGTGTCCCTTCATCTTCTTCCTACTCCAAGAAGATGTAACTGTGCATTTACTTTTTCTTTTCTTTTCTTTTTTTTTTTAATTTCCTCTCTTTTTTACTTTTTAGTGAGCCTGTGCTTTGATATGCCTATCCATTTAGATTCTAAATTCTCTACATTCATCTTCAATGAAAGGTTAAATCCTTAATATCGACCCGTTTATTTTTATGTAGATTTGTTATTTTCTTGTTTTTATTTTCTTTTAGAGTTTTTATTACAATCAAATTTCCAAATTGATTTCAAGAATAAAGGTTTAATATGGAGAAATTGGTATAAATTCTAATTTCGAAAAACTTGGATTGATTGTAGATGTTTTATAATTTTTGCAATTCATTTTTAGATTGTTTTATTTTTTTGCAATTATTGAAAAATTTATATTATTTATTCAATTTCTAGTATTTTATGTAATTTCTATTTTTATAATTTTGTTGTTTTCTCTAAAATTTTATATTTTTGTGAAATATAAGATATTTTATTATAATTTTTAATGTTTTTTTTTGCATTTTTATGTGATTTATGTTATGTCATTTAGTTTGGATAGATTGGACCTAATCCAATCCATTTGCATTTCAATTGGATCGGTTTGGACTCGGTTTGTATGGATGGGTTCAGACCAGATTGAGTCCAGCCCATTTGTAAATGGATCCATGTTCGATTGGATCAAATTAGGATCCAATTGACACCCCTACTTGTTACCTTGTTACAATCTATTATTAATACTAATCATGGTTTGGTATTATTTTCTTTTTTATGGGAATAAGTAACGTTTGTGATTAGAAGATGATTGATGTATTCATGTGGGCATGGATGGAAAAAACTAAAAGAAATTATGGGAGATGGCTTTTTAAATGTCCTTCTAGTGAGATATATTTCATTTTGCTAATTATTAATTGTAGGTTGAACAATAGTAATGATAGTTGTAGTTGTCTTTTTAATTGCAGCATTCCAACTTCATATATATATATATATTGTTGTAAGAATATATGCATCAAAATATTATTCATATGATATATGGTATTTGAATTTAATTTCATACATTATATATAAGAAAGTATCTACTTTATATAGTATATATAAATAGGTTTTTCAAAAACCAAATGGACTGATGATTAATTAAATTAAATAAATGTAAAAAATTAAAAATATTATCAAAATTATAACAACAATGATAAATAATTAAATAAATGTTCCAAAGCCATTTAATAAGTAGTAAGGCGGATGTTAAGCATGAAGAGGTTCTAGTGGGTACAAGTTCTTGAAGTTCACATCAGCGCCCCACAATGCCCCATAGCACATCCCGACGGTGTTCCTAACACAAGGTCGGGATGTGCTGTGGGGCGCTGATGTGACCTAAAATTCTTTATAGAGTAAAATTTTTGATCCGCATTAAAAGTTTCCAAACTGGTATCTTTTCTATCTAGTCATTAAAAAATTAAGRAAAAATTCTCGATAAATACCCTATACTTTAGGCCTAGTGTCGATTTAATACTCAAACTTTAAAATGTGACAATCTAGTACTTAAATTTTCAATTTGCAATAAATCAATACTTGGCATTAACTCACCATCAGTCAAAATGCAAAAAGAGATAATTACCCACCTGCAGGTTCGACCAATGTATGAACTGTTTTCTGAAATGACAAAAATGACCCCAGCTATAATCCTTTGTCTGGAGTGGGAACCACTGTTCACCCATTCTATTACCTGAAGTTCCAAAGAAACCAATTCCACACGCCGGTAATGTTAAGCGGAATGCGACGCCGGAAAAGTTGAATCGACGAGTGACAAACTAGACAACGCCATACGAAGATTTGTTCTGTGTATTGTGGAAGAAATTGCCGGAAGAATTGGCATCTGATAATGGTACCCCTTTTTCTAACTCAACCGTTGCCGGAGAAGACGACCCCTTGTTGCTGGTGCCGGAAGAGACGACCAGGGTTTTTTTTTTGCTTTTCTTCTATTATTCTCTATGCTTTTTTATTGTATTTATATCAGATTGACTTCTGGGTGATTTTAATGCAAGATTTTTAAGGATTTTCTGATTAGCCTATATGAAGCTATTGCTACTAAACCTTTTGGTCCCACCATCTCTGATGCCTCCGGCAAAATTTGGTTTTTCTTAGAGGGTTCAAGGTCCAGTTGTGCAACTACTGGGTTTGGCCAAGCTGTTTCTGTCAACTTGTTGGCTGTAGGTTCTGTAGAGAGCTCCAGATGAATCTGAGTAAACAAACTGATCGAATTACAGAGACACAGGTGAGACCGTTACGAAGTAATGGAGAGCCTTAATTCACACTTTCTTTCCATATATACTTCATAACCATTTGTCAAAAAATCAAAATTTCCCAATCCCCATCCATTTCTTGCCGGGCAATGTACCGATGGCCAGCACTGATCAGACGAAAAGCAGAGACATTTATTGCTGGACATCCATTTCTTACTAGACAAAATTACCAATCCCCATCCATTTCTTTTCCTGCATATATACTTCATAAACAGCCACCTTGCTCCTCCAAACAAATCAAACGAAAAGAAGAGGAAGAAAAATAGGGAAAGGGACTTTTTCAACCTGAAAAATTAGGTTCTTTTTCTTTGTATAACCACACCACCTGAAAGCGCATTCTGGAAAATCTCATAGTCCAAATCATATTCAYCCACCTTCTTCCCACCAACCCCAAGACGAATTGCTGCTGCAACCTGATCCTTACTGGTAGAAAAATCGAGTTTGCTGGCCACTTTGTCAAGATCGTCACTAAGAAGCGGAGCACAAGTAGAGCATCCCAAAAGTCAGCAGGCTCCTCGCCCTCATCAATGCTCAGAATTGGACCTTGCGCTCTTTCATAACGGACGACCTGACAGGCAGCCACTCAGCCACTCTAGCACGATAGCTAATTTGTGAAACTGATCAGACGTTAGGAGTTTAAAGCTTACCACCTTCTTTGCCGTTCATTCAACCTGCGCGTGAGCAGTCTCCTTTCCTCTCCTCTATCGTTCCTTCGAGTTGGAGTTGATCGAAGCTTACCACCTACGCGATAAAAGAGTAGGAGGTCAGAAAATTACCGTGGAGGTCGGAATCAAAGGCTACGCTTACCACCTATGAACACTGTGCTCGGAATGAAGGGGTGCGCTTACCACTTCTCTCGGTCCTTCAACCTAGATCGAAGAGAAAGGGGAAAAGGAAAAAAATAAGAAAAAAGGGTAAAATAGTCTGAAAATTATCATAGGTTAGTTTTGGCACTATAAAATTATTCAAATCGCATCATTGAAAGTTCAGGTAATGTTTTAAAATTTTATTAAGCTTAAAGCAGAAGGTACTTATCGGAAAATTTCTCAAAAATTAATAATTTTCTAAAAATACTTCGCATCCACGATGGCAGTTTTCTTCTCAACATTCCTATTTGTAAATGAAAATTCATAAGTGTCCAAATCGGTAAAATCAGTAATTTTTCTAAGAACATTTTGTGTTTGTGAATGCAATGGACGGTTAAGATCCCCTAAGCTGCCTCTTACGTGGGCCATATTCTTGCGAAAGTGGTCAGGAGAGATCCTTGTAGTTGTAGATCTCTTTCTTAAAAAGGGCCTTCCACATCCAGACCGGATCAGACCGGACAACTTTGTTAATCGGGTCCAGTTATTTACGTTATTACAGTTTTGCCCAAAGAACACTGCAGCTTTTTTTCACATCCAGTTCCATTATGCGCATGGCCTTAAAGAGCGCACAATCGCACACCATTCTACTGTCTTCGTCGCTTCAGATTCTACTTGTACCGTAGCGAGGTAATGCTCGCACAACATGAATGCTATTCGTTCGAATCATCTCCATGCAATCTCGGTTGCTTCTCCATTCAGTCTTTTTGGTGAGCAACTCTTCTTCTTCTTCTTCTTCTTTCTTAAAAAAAATTATACTGAACTTTCCTTTTTTTTTTGTCTTTTATTTATTTGTTCGATTGCTCAGAGATTTCTACTTTTCAGAATACCATATCGGTTCATTTTAGAACACGAATTTGTTGATGGGGTTTTCACCATGACTATATGTTTCAGCAGATAATCGGTGCTGGGTTTGATTGTTTTAAATCAGAGTGTGGTTTTGTTTGAACAGTTGGGGGATATTTGAGTACTTTGTGATGATTTTTGCTTGGTTTTGAGAGTTTTGGCGTGCATGGTTTTGTTGGATCCACATAGGAAGTAATGGGGAAAAAGGCTAAAAAGAAGGCAAAAAACAGTAGTCATAAGGAGAAGCGGGTTTCTTCTGGTTCTCCTCAAACAGTTCCCCAGTACTCGAATCCAGCAGATGAGATTAGGCATGACGAAGATGCAGTAATAAAAGAGAGAAAAGGATGTACCCATATTGAGAAGGGCGTTAATTTGGAGAAAATCTCTTCAAAAATTGGGTCATCGGAGCATGTTAAGTGCGAAGATTGCAGGGAAGGTGCTCTTGACCGGAAGGCGGGTAAGGGAAAGAGAAAACATGGAAAGAAGAAAGGAGCAAGTTCTATGGAGGCAACGCCGGAAAAAAAATCCATTTGGGTGTGTTTGGATTGCGGGCATTTTGCATGTGGAGGGATTGGTTTGCCAACAACACCTCAAAGCCATGCCATTCGGCATGCCAGAAGTATGGGCCACCATTGTGTAATTCAGTACGATAATCCTCATCTACGCTGGTGTTTTCCATGTGAGTCACTAATTCCAGTTGAAAAATCAGAAGAGAATGGCAAGCAGAAAGATATCTTATTGGATGTTGTGAAATTAATCAAGGGACGATCTGTAAAAGTCTCCATGCATGATGTTGAAGATGTTTGGTTTGGCAATGGTGCGGACAAAATTAAGTTAGATGATGCTCAATCACAACTTATAGATGGAAAAGGTGCTTATACAGTCCGTGGCTTAGTTAACCTTGGGAATACCTGTTTCTTTAATTCAGTAATGCAGAACTTATTTTCAATGGATATGTTGCGGGATTACTTCATGAAGCTGGATCAGTCTGTTGGTCCTCTTACTATGTCTTTGAAAAAGCTCTTTAGTGAAACAAGTCTGGATGTGGACCCGAGAAATGTACTGAACCCAAAAGCCTTGTTTGGATGCATTTGTTCAAAATCCCCACAGTTTAGAGGATACCAGCAACAAGACAGCCATGAGTTGCTCCGATGCTTACTTGATGGGCTATGTACAGAGGAATTGAGTGTGAGAAAATTGCGCAATTCTTCTGGGAGAGATGCAACTACTTCAACTTCAAATCAGGGCTCCACTTTCATAGATATGATATTTGGAGGCCAACTGTCAAGTACTGTTTGCTGTCTGGAATGTGGGCATTCCTCCATTGTATTTGAGCCCTTCCTAGATCTCTCACTGCCAGTCCCAACTAAGAAACCTCCATCGAAAAAAGCAACCCCAGTGTCCCATCSTAGGAAAACAAAGCTTCCTATGAAAAAAGGCAGAAAGGTTCGTGTAAAGGGGAATACTGATGCAACCACTCAATTGGTTCAAAGTGAGCTAAGCCCTTCAGAAAGCAGTGAGTTTTCTTGCCCACTACATTCTAGCATTTCTTTTGTAGAAAAGAATGCTGTTTCACTTGATAATATTACATGGCTTGATTATGCAGGGCCAGATGAAGCTTCCCATGACTTAGACTTGAATTCACAAAACCTTGATGTCTCAGCTATTCAAGATGCTGAAAACAGCAAAGTCTTTCAGAATGTTGAAGAGCAAACATCTGCTTCCCTGGATCAGCTTTCATGGTTGGATTACATTGACCCAGTGAAAGCACCTGCAGACAATAATTTGGTATCACAAGACTATGATATCTCGGTTGTTCAGGATTCTGAAAACCAGCAGGTGATCCAAAGTGGCATACCACAGAATGGCTCTGATTCACAAAGCTGGGCTTGTTCAACAAATGGAGAATCAAAATTGGAACATAGTTCTTCTCAGAGTAATCCCTGTGAGGATGAACTCCCTTTACAGATTCAAGGTTCTGAGGTTCTGTTACTTCCATACAAGGAGGATAACTCAAACAATGAGGAGATGATGAGAAGAGAAACTGAGACCTTCACATGTGTTGCAGGCTGTGAACAAGATACATTAGAGTTTGATGGCTTTGGGGACCTATTTAATGAGCCTGAGATGCCTGCTGTAACTAATGCAGAATCCTGGTTATGTGACAGTAATTTCCAGTTCCAGGCAAGCGAAGTGACAGACTCAAGTTTCTTAGCTGCAAACAGCAGTGATTCTGGTCCAGATGAAGTTGATAATACAGATGCCCCAGTTTCTATAGGTAGTTGTTTAGCTTATTTTACAAAACCTGAGCTTCTAACCAAGGAGCATGCTTGGCATTGTGAGAGGTGTTCGAAGATACTGCGAGGCCAAAGAAGGGAATATAGGGAGAACCTCCAGCAGACCGCATCAAGGACTGGGGAAAAAGCAGCTAAATTGAGAAGGAAAAATTCTCCATTTGGTTCAGATGATGATTCCTTGAATCCTGTTAATTACAGACATTTGGGTAATGGAAAGCTTGAAGGCAATAATGTTTCCACCACCACTACTGAATGTTTGATTCTTCATACTGAGAAACCTGATGATTCAAAACCAAAATGTACCAATTGTACAAACAATCAAATGGGAAAGGAAGTTTATTCAGGGTTGGTAGAGCCTACATGTAGTTCTCCAGTTGATCATCCACAGATTTCTCCAAGGGATAAAGGTATTGGTAAATTGGAACATGCTTCTCGAGAGTCATCACCAAGCTCAGGTCATTGTAAATCCATCAGCCAAATGAGTTTTGGGGCTCAAACCACTGATTCATCTAGTCCGGATGAATCTACTAATATGGTACACAATGCTGATAAAACTCAACCTCCAATATCCCAGTTAATGACTAGTGATAAGGAATTGGATGACAGTGCGGATGAGGAAATGGACTCTGAAAACGTAAAGGTTAAGAGAGATGCGACTAAAAGGATTCTCATCAATAGGGCACCACCTATTCTCACCATTCATCTTAAGCGGTTCAGCCAAGATGCTCGTGGTCGCTTGAGTAAATTGAATGGTCATGTCCATTTTAGGGATGTAATTGATCTCAGGCCATATATGGACCCCAGGTATGCTCATCCAAGCTCAGTTGTATTTTCTTATTTTGCTTTTGATGGTTGTTGCTGTTACTATTGTTGCTACTATTTTTTATTATTGATTCTTACTATTGTTGTTTTTCTACTAGTGTTAATACTATATTGCTGTTCTTTTGCTACTACTAGAAACTGTGCACGTGACAATTCTAGATGATGATAATGATAGTAATAAGTTAATAACATATCCAAAATTTTCTATCAATGTTATGTATTTTTATTTTTTTTTATTTTTATATATTTTTTTATTTTGTATTATTAATCGAATGCAGATTGCAAAACAAATATGATTACATAAACACCTCGTTCAAATATATGATAATAGGATCGAGTTTTGAAGTTTCAAGTATCATTGACAGGCCCACTTGCTTGGCTAAACTCTTATTTTTGTAATGTTTTATCTTTTTGGTGTATCCTTTTTATTCATTTATCAAAAAAATGTAAGATTTAAATAGAGATAATTGAATTAGGTGAAAATTAGTAGTTCAATTTACAATTTAAAACTCAATTAAATAGGGACTAAATTCAAAAATGAGTGTTTTAGTCAAAAGAAAGTTTTACAATTTTATTAATATTTTAATAGTAGTGTAAATGTAGAATTATAGATGTGTTCATTTTTTTCTATAGTTTCTTTTTGTATTTTTGTGTGTAAAAATAATTTTGATATGTCACACTTACTTTTTGTTCAATATGACAAATATATGATATTATACATGTGCCTTAATGTTTTTTTTTTTGCAAAATTTATGTATTTCTTTCATTTTTATATCTTTATATTTTATTATTTTTTGTTATTTATTTATGACATTAAAGGTTAACACATTTAACCCAAAAGTTGAATTATTTATTAGTAATTTTTATATTTCATTTTTTTTCCAATTTTAAATTATGTATTCCATTTTCATTATCAATAGAAATAATTCTTGTTTATGATACTTATTTTTTTAATTTGATTAATAAAAATATCATAAGTTTGTCTAATTTTTTTCTACATTTTAGAATTTTCTATATTTATTTATACTTTAAAACTTTATTACCTTACTATGACTTCATAGGTTGATCAATTTAATTTAGATGGTTGATTCGATTAGCCACCACTTGGAGAAAGAATGGTTTTGTTTTTTGGTCAATTTTAAAATATATGGGCTTATATCTATACTGTATATAAAAGTGTGGATGCAATGTGAAACTTTTTTTGGACTAAAATTACCTACTTCTTTGTTTGAGAAAGGGTATAAATGCCATTTTATTACAACTTTAACGTCATATTTAATGGTTACTAAAATGCCTATAATTGTGTATTTAGTCCATCTCTAATGGTAAGGTTGACAATGCAACTTCAATTATTACTTCCCACCTCATTTAATCCCCTCTCATTAAGTCTTACACTTAAATTATTAACTTCCACTTTCTCTTATTAAATTAGATTTGTGTCAATATTTTTAACAATATAAACCCATATATTTTAAAACTGACTCAAATACCAAACCATTTTTTAATCCAAGTAGTGGCTAAGCAATTCAATCATCCGAATCAAATTGATCAACCTAGGAAGTCATAGTTAGGTAATAAAAATTTTAAAATAGAAATTAAATATAGAAACTTGCAAAATATGTAGAAAACGTTAGACATGTTTATTATATTTTTATTAATCAAATTTAAAAAAGTGTAATAAAAAAGAATTATTTTTATTGGTAATGAAAATGAAATACATAATTTAGAACTGACCAAAGATGAATTTATTTTATTGTTGGGCAAAGATTAATAGTTCAAATTTTGGGTCAAACATGTTAACCTTTAATGCCATAAATAAATAATAAAAGTTAATAAACTATAAAATACAAATATGAAAAAAATATATAAATGTTGTAAAAAGAATTAGGCACATGTATAATGTCATATTATTTATCATATACCCATGCAATTACCATTGAGGTTGTTTCTACAAAAAAAGCAATGCAAATTTTATAAACAACAAAAAAAGAGAATTTAAAGTTGTAACTTTGCCTTTGAATGATTGAAGTGAAGGACAAATTTGGAAAATAAATCAATTTAAAAAAAGAGATTAGAAGGATTTGTGCAAGTGATTCATATGAAGAGAACATTTGGAAAATAAACATTTTGATCATAAGTAACTGCATGGGCATTTTGTCATTTTCATGCTTCTTTTTAGAAGATTCTAACAGGATCTACATGCAACTATATCAGAAAGTTTAGGGGAGGTAATCGCAATTGTTAAACTTTAGGAGAGGTTTCATCAACAACCTAAAACTTTAGGGGAGGTTTTAGCAATTTACTGAAGTTTTAAAATATATGGGTTTATAGTGTTAAAAGTATTGGAGATAAATCTAATAAGGAGCATTTATTAGTGAAAACAAACTTAAATATAGGATTTAATAAGAGAATAAATTACATTTTCAACCCTCATAATTAGAGATGGACTAAATGCACAAATATGGGCATTTTAGTCAACAAAAGTTCCACACCCTCATTCATACTTTTTATAATAATATAGATTATTATTTTGTTTTCAATCTGACTTTGCATGTATCTTTTGAATGGCTATTTATTATTATGCTATTTTGTTCTTTTGATCAACTAAGAAGTAGAGTAAACTTGAAATAAAGAACCAATCTATTTTTAACTGATTGGAAGTAAATCAATTGATACACATGGCATTTATTATTTATTAAGAAATGTATGGTGTGTGTTGGTTTGCAAGCCGGATCTTTAAATGGCATGGTGGATTGGTCCTTCCTAGCTAACATTTTGGAGAGAATAGGATTGGGTGAATGATGGATAAAATGGATCAATGGCTGTAGTGTTATTCGACCTTGATAAATGGTGTTGCTAGAGATTTCTTCTCAGCAAGAAGAGGTTTGAGATAGGGAGACACCATTTCTCCTTTCCTTTTCACCTTGGTAGCTAAGTTCTTAGTAGAATGATTATTAAGGTTGATTTGGACAATGTAGTTAGGGGTTAGAGAGTAGGGGTGAGCAAGAAAAAACGAAAAACCAAACTGAACCAAAAAATCGACCGAAAATCCGATTAACCGAACTGGTCAGTTCGGTTTTGGTTAACCAATATGGAAAACCAGCGATTAACTGAACCAACCGGTATACATATATTTCTATATATTTTATGTATATTATATATTTTATGTCTTCTATATATTATAAATTAATAAACATGCAATATATATAAAAGTACATATTTATATTTATAATATATAATATATTATTTATTATTTCAAATATAACATTTTATATATATTTCTAGTTTTTGTATGTATTTATTCATTTTTTTATAACATATGTTGTAAATATAAAAAAACTGAAGAACTGAACCAACGGTTAACGAATTGGTCAACCGGTTAACCGATCAGCTYCGGTTGTTGATTTTCTAGAAACTAGTAATACTTGTTCGATTTCAAAAATAGGCCCATGGTTTGATTAATTGAACCATGAGCACCCCTATTAGAGAGTGCGCAGGAATGAGGTTGTAGTTACTCACTTGTAATTCACAGATGATATAATAGTGTTCTATGATGGAAGTAATGAAAGTATCATGAAGAACCTAAAGGAGTTAGCCAATTGGTTCTAGAGGGCTTCTAATTTGAAGGTGAATTGGGGAAAGAGTTATATTGCAGGGGTAAACATAAGGGAAGAGGAGATTCATTCTTGGTAGGGATTCTAGGTTGTGAGGTTAAAATTTGGCCACTAGAATACCTTGGACTTCCATTGGGGGCTAATCTGAAGGTAGAAGGATTTTGGAAACCTGTGGTGGAAAGATTTGCTAAGAAGTTGGCTCTATGGAAAAGAAACTATATCTTAAATTCTTAATGGGAGGAATAATAACTTTAATTAAATCTACCATGGCCAATTTACCTATTTACTATCTATCCACATTTCGGATACCAACTAAAGTAGCTAGGAAATTAGAAATGAGGGACTTCTTATAGGAACCAGGGGATGAAAGAAAGGACCATTTGGTGAAATGGGAGTAGGTATGCAGATCGAAAGAATAGGGTGGACTATGTTTTGGGAACCTGATTTAGAGGAATACAACCTTACTAGGAAAATGGTTGTGGAGATTTCCCTGAGAAAGTGAAAGGTTATGGCGCAAGGTCATTGGAAACATTTATGGTGTTATGGAAAATGGTTGGGTTGCAAAGGTGGCTCCTCATTCTTTTTCAATCTCCCCTTGGAAAGCAAGGCATGAGGTACTTCCAATTTTTCTTCACTTGTTTTCATGTGGGTTTTGGAAATAAAATCTTGTTCCGGGAGGATTTGTGGCTTGGTGACTTGCCCTTCAAATCACAATTTCCTTTACTTTACACCCTCTCCAACTACAGATCTAAACCCATATCAAAATTCGGTGTACCCTCTTCCTCTGGGATAGGTTACGACTTCGGCTTCATGAGGGGCTTGAGGGGTAATGAATGTGAATCTCTTGTCCTACTTTTGGTCAAATTGGATATGGTTCTCTTGGATCAATAGAGGATAGTAGAATTTGGGCTCCTTCCCTGATGGCCTGTCTTCTTGTGCTTCTTTCTTCAACCTGCTCATTCATTCTGATTCCTTGGGGGTGAACTTCTTGGTGAAAGAAATTTGGTGTATGTCTATCTCTCCTAAAGTTCAAGCTTTGTGTTGGGAAGTGTTCCTTGGGAAGATTAACACCTGTGGCATGCTGCACAAATGTGTGTTTTTGCAAAGCTTGTGGTGAATCCATTACCCATTAATTGATATCCTGTCCTTTGGTGCATAGTGTATGGGATTTTTTGGTTCTCTCTTTGGTTGTAGGTGGGTTCCCTCACAAGATGTGGTAAGTCTTTTTAATCCCAACTTCCTAAAGCTGCCAGAAAAGAGAGGGAGAATTATGTGAAGGGCAATAAGGGCAGCAGTGGTTTGGTCCTTTTGGGAAGAAAGGAATCAAAGAATTTTCAATGCTATCAGCAGATCTAAGGAGTAGTTAGT